TAAATATAAGAAGACAAGCTTTATTAGGTGAACATGGCAAGAAAAGTTATGCATACGCACTCAACAAAAACAACCCTTCTCAAAAACAATATGTATGGGCTCAATAATCAACAAGTAGCAATCCACCCATGTGGGCCTCTAAAAACAAACAGCAAATTAATGTTTTTTTCTTTCCCTTTTGTACTTTTTTTTCTTTCTCTTTCTCATAAGAAAGTGCTATTCACATGTCTATTTTTACATTTTCTATATCCCTGTTAATTTTTTACCATTCATTTTCTTCAATTCACTCGATTGTTGCCAACTTGTGCAAGAGTACGGATGGCAATGGGGCGGATGGGGTTCAAATGTGTCATCCCCATAACCAAACTAGTTTGTTTTCCCCGTACCCGAAACTGTAAAAAAACCTGAACAGGTATTCCCCGTAACTGAACCCGTTGGATAACAGATTCCTCATCGGGCAACGGTTTTTCAATTTCGCTCTTTATGTATGTTAACACATGACCCCTTGTTGTCTTATTAAAATAATATATAGCCATCATCCTCTACGCCACTTGGGGAAGTCCACAAACACCCACAAGAACAAAGGGCCAAGTTACCAAGCCCACAAAATCAGCCCAAAAGTTTTCAACATTGAGCGCTGCATCAGGAGTCATCGTAACCAGAGCGCTCGAGTTATTGAATTTTCAAAACCTGACCACCGACTAAAAGAAGAGAGCGCTCAGTTTAAACTACTGTCCGACTACTTCAACCAAGTGCTAGGCTTGAGAGCTCTTTGGCACAAAATTCTAAGAGGCAAGTTTGGTCTAAACGTTAACTCCTTGTCACGTGTCGATCTCTCAACATAGAAAATAGCCCACGGTAGGTTGCAAGGAACAATTATAAAGGGTTCTCGTTATAGGAAAAAAATCTTCGCTGGATCATTTTCCCGATCTTAAGGATTCAATGATTGTGATCGTTCATTGTATATAGTGCGGTCTGTTTTCATTAGGTACTATTTATATTTAATTTTAAATTTTTAAATTTGAAATGATTTTTGACCACACGATATACGAATAGTTTCTAATGTGCTGGGAATCTTATCATCTTGACAAGTTCATCTACCTGGATTTGGTAAAAGTTCATTTTGAGATATGCTAGGATCAGTTGCCCTTGCGTTCAAGGTTAACTACCAAGTGACACATGGATATTTACTATTAAGGTATCAAACAAAGCCAAAGCCTTTACAGCCACAGGTAGACTAGTCATATGATCATATCATGCCCACTTTTCAGTTTTTAATTTTACTTTGTTGGGGAAGGATTTGGATCCTCTCCTGAGCTAATGGAGAGGATCCTCCTAACCCATCATCGTGAACCGTTGAATTTTTATCCAACGACTATAATTATTATAACTTTAAAGGGACCCCTTGTTTGTAGCCATTGAATAAAAATCCAACTGCCTATGATGATGGATCAAGAGGATCCTTTCCATTAGCTCAGGAGAGGATCCAAATTCGTTGGGGAATATGGTATTCGGAATATCAACCTTGATAGAAGTTGCCAGGCATTTTCCATTTGATTTTTGGCAGGCAGCAGATGCACTACACAACAAGCACATCAATCTTATTTCAAAAAATCACTCACTTTACCCTCCCTTACACTCATTTAATTTAAGTGAACTATTATTGATATTCTAAAAATTTCATTTTGTGTACTAAAAAAAAAATAAAAATTAAAAGATAAAATGAAAAATTTTAAATACCAATAATAATTTCCTAATTTAATTATATTTTTTGGTTCGGTTTTGATATATTCAATCGGACAATAAAAACTTAAACCTCCAGATTCCTTCTGACAGTCGGCTAGTCTATTAGCGGCAACGGCAGAGCAGCACATGCTTAAAGAGATGGCAAGTCTGGCAACTTATCATGCCTCCTCGACTGCAAATATTAATACTTCTTTTTACTCCATCATATCATATTATTATATTCAAAGCAACCCTTAAATTGGTATTTAATTACCTTACCACCACCACCACCACCACCACCACCACAACCCCATCACAGGTTGTTTACTTTAAAATAAACTTTCCAACTTAACTTGCAAAAAATCTTTAGGATTCACAAGAAAATGATCCGACAAGGATCCTTTTCCCTCGTTATATTACTTTGGGGCCGCCTTCAAAGGAGCACCGTTTCTAAATAGCATTTTCAATGCGGAAACGCAAAGATGAGGAATTAATAACCCAAAGAAGGGTTGGATTGTAGGAATTAATAACCCAAATCCGAACCACAATGTACCCTTTATAAACAAGTTGAAGATGTTTGTTTGTTTGTTTCAGTTAACTTTTAGTTATTTTTTCATATTTCTGTCTTTGTTAACTATTTTTTCTTTTTTTTTCACATTTTTTTAATACAAAAAACAAATTTGACAATTAACAGAAAAGTTCGCTTTTGGTTGTCCATGAAATCACGATTTTATTCCAACAATTAAAAGTCAATCGCCCTGTTCGAGGCAAGGATTTCCCCTCACACAGCTTCCCAAGGGTGTTGGCACTTGGTGTGTTGTCGGACTTGCTCTTGCTTGGTGTGCTGCAAGAGTGGTTAGTAGTTAGTTTTGAAAGGTGTATTTCTGGGGCCTTAGGTGTAGGTCTTGAGGCTCACAATTAAAACTAACATGGATCTTGACATGCCACTGCTATCTTAATATAACAGATGTAGAACAGACATGATTTAAGTTGATTACTTGCACCCCAAATTACTTAAACTTCTTGTTATCAAAGGATGTCGCAGATGAGTTAACTCTGCATTAAGTTCTTTTTCTTGCCTTGTAAACAAAGACTTTTAGTTCATAATCTTGTATGTCCAAAACGAAGGGAGTTTAGGGCCCTTTAAAAACCATTTTCAATAAAAACAGGTTCATTAAGTTAATCAGATCCGAATGCAAATGGGACTCTTAGGTAGAAAATAGTTGGAAATAACTTGAATATATGCTAAAAAGTACATGAAGCAAGGCACTTTGGATGAATGCTTTACTCTCTTCTGGCTCTAATCATTCGAACTCCAACTAGTGTATCATAGCTTTGTTCTTGTAGAAAGGAGGCACTTTGGATGAATGCTTTACTTGCTGCTCATCTGCTAACAAGTTCTCGTACTTTATAGCAGTTATTACCAACTCCTGCAGCTCACTGAACTAGACATCATAGAACTTTTTCCTCAATGGCAATCTTAGGGCTTTCTAAGCAATAGATATAAGTTGAGCATGGTTGATAGGGAACTGGCACCTTATCTTTGTCTTCCTAAACCTCATCATGAAGTCTTCAAACGACTCATGTTCATATTGTTTCACCTCCACTAGATTATTGATAGTCATCTCGGGCTCCACCCTATAAAATTGCTCGTGGAAAACCATCTCCATTTGCCCCTAGTTGGCAATGGAATTAGGAGGCAATAAAGAATACCACTAAGATGCTAATCCCACCAATGAATTCTCAAACAACCTTAACTTATAGTTAGGATTGTCTTTAAACGCCACACAGTAGTTGGAAAATTTGAAAATGTGGTCCCTAGAGGACTCATTACAGTCTTCCACACTGAAGGTTGGGAACGTGGGCATCTTGAAGGTCAATGGAAAGGGGTTCTCTCATCAATATACTCCAGGTAAGATTTCTGCTAGGTGATCCTGAATAGCTGGCGAGCCTGTGGTTAGGCATTCTAGACCACCATTCTTCTCAGCTCGGCCAACTCATTTCTAAGTTGTTGATTAGTTGCATTGTTGTTGGGGAAGGGAGTGTAAGGGGGTCCCTACTTTAGGCTACTTTCATTGCTTAAGAAAGCCTCTTTTTGTGGCTCTGGCTACCTCCACCTAGACTCCCCTCCCTTATAAGCTAATGGTGGTGGCCTATAAGGGGGAGGTTTACCCACAGTAGTGGGTACACCCTTTCCATTGGACTCTCCGACTTGTTAAGTCATTCCATATTTCCTTCCATCTTGCCTGATCTGCCCCCTACTATCTAGTGGGAATAATAGAAGGTCGGGAAAACTCGATTCCTAAATCTCTTCTACCCCTGGCTGATTGGTTCTAGGCTCTTCCTTCTTCTTCCCCTATCATTCTTTTCCTTAAGCAAAGGAAATAGGGGAATTAGCAGTTCTTTCTCAGGACTTGCCTCTCTCATTATCTCCCTAACATGACCATCTTTTGGGGTAGATTATTCCAACTCTAATCTCCTCTGCAGATTCCCTGTTAGTGAACAGAATCTACTGACCTCCCCTTTAGTCTCCAGAGATATTTTCTCCATGCGTTTCAATACTTGCACCATAATAGCTTGCAAATCCTCGTTTGTAACTTTTTTGCCTGACTTCTCGGATGAAGTTGGGCTCTCCAAAATAACAGAACCTTGTAGGCAGGGGAAATCTTTCAGGGGATATGTCATGTCTGATCTTGGTAGGCAATGAGGTAGCCCGTACTCTACGTTCCACTTGAAAGTTCGTTCCTTCCTTCTTCTTCTTGGAATACAAGACTTATTAGTCCCCAATGGGCGTGCCAAAACTATGTTCGAGGCAAGGATTTCCCCTCACACAGCTCCCCGAGGGTGTTGGCGCTTAGTGTGTTGTTAGGCTTGCTTTTGCTTGGTGTGCTGCAAGAGAGGTTAGTAGTTAGTTTTGAAATGTGCCTTTGTGGGGCCTTAGGTATAGGCCTTGAGGCTCATAATCAAAATTAACATGGATCTTGGCGTGTCACTGCTATCTCAAAATAACAGATGTAAAATAGATGTGATTTAAATTGATTACTTGCGCCCCAAGTTACTTAAACTTCTTGTTATCAAAGGATTGTCACAGATGGGTTAAGTCTGCATTAAGTTCTTTTTCTTGCCTTGTAAACAAGGACTTTTAGTTCATAATCTTGTGTGTCTAAAACGAAGAGAGTTCAGGGCCCTTTAAACCATTTTCTCGATCCAAGTTCATTTTAATAAAAACAGGTTCATTAAGTTAACCAAATCCGAATGCAAATGGGACTCTTAGCTAGAAAATAGTTGGAAATAACTTGAATATATGCTGAAAAGTACATGAAGCGATAGATCTACTAACTAAAAGTACAAGCAAAGAGACTCAGGCCAGATTTCACCTTGTTGGACAAGGTCGAACCTCTTGCAGCCACTTCTCTGTGAGTTTACAAAGATTATATGCTAGAAGGGATGGATGGTAAAAGGTTTTACACGAGGGAATCGATACTACAACACTGAGGAAGGTAGCAGAGTTTTTACACTAGACAAAATATGACTTTGCCAAGGGAACTATTGCTAAAAGGTCTGAATCTGGGTGAGTTTCAGCTTTCTGGGTGCAATCTGGCTTGAGAGCAGAGTTTGTATGTTGTTTGTTTGATTGGTTGATTGTCCTTATCTGTGTTGTCTCTTTCTCCCTTTATAGGTAGTTTGACCCGACTGTATGGGCATTGTTCTTGGCTGAAAGTTCTCAAGGGCAGTGAGTCATCTTCTAATTACTTGTAATGCCATTAGAAAGTGTTTTTTTTGCTGATAGTGAGTTGGTCTTTGTCACTTGTCACTCAATTATAGGCAAATGACTTATACCTTCGCTGAGAAGACTTTAGTTTGCATCAGGCTTCATGGCTGGGCTTCGGGGCAAGTTCGACTTGTTTTGGCGCCTTTGGGCTTCCTCAAATACTTAAGGCCAATGTTTATATTAACCCAAACACGCCCACCCCTCACTTTTGAGCTGTCAGACATACCATACTTCCAAAACAAAAGAAACATTAATCAATTGCAATTTCCTACCAACATCTGTGTCTTGCAATTTCTTACCAACATCTTTGTACTATTATTATGAAAATATACATAAGTAATTAAGTAAGATAAAAATTATACACACATGATGAAATGTCTTTTCATAGCGAGAAGATAATTTCTATGTAACAAGCTAAGTATTTTACACAAAACAAATAATCTTCTCAAAAGAAAGTAAAACAAACAGAAAGGAACACCTAAGAAGAAAGAATTTTAGACAAAAGAAGAGAGAATTCTCACATATTTTTTTAGCTTCTACACCCTTTTTTACTTCTGATTATATCATTGAGTAAATCAAACACAAACAACGAATATGATTAAAAAAAATGTGTGAAGCAAACAATGTATGTATTTATCATTTCTCAAAACGAAATGGCAACAACAAAAAACAAAATGCAGTGCAAGTTTTGGTGCCTCAAAAAGCCTCTACCAATAATTAATGGTCATAAAAATGCTAATCACCTCACCACTTAATACTATGGTCTAGTATTCTTCTTCACTTGTAAGTAAGAGGTCTTAGGTTCGATTTTCGCCAAAGGCGAAATTGAACCACATTATTATGGTTCAACTCCCTCACCCCCTTAGTGTAAATACCATCATTTGTTTAGAAAATAAAAAAAAATATGCTCAGCACCTTAAGTAAAAGAGTAGTCCTACACTTATCATCTAGTTGTATTATCACTTGTACCGTCTCTCTAATAACATTTTTGCAGGTAAAATTCATCTTGTAAAGATTTCATCCATATTGGTGTCAACAAAAGGGCCTTAACTTCTTGATGATAGATTAATCAACAATAAGCCAGAAAGATAAACCGTAAAGCAAATTGCGTGCAAATTTATCCAAAGAAGCCTCTCTCCTGAAAAGGGATTCCCTCCGAATCTCTTACACCAAATTCTCTTAATCATTTAGTTCGGGTCCTTGAAATTATGCATAAATAAAGGATAAATAAAGCTCCAAAACACTTTAGGGCTTCCGCTAATCCGCACTGTAATTCGTGCCCTTAATTAATCACATAAATCACGAACCAATTTAATTGCATGATCGAAGATCACGAAAACCCTAAACCCAATTACAAGAAGAAAAATGCATTTGGCAAGGCTACAAGCTTATAAAGTCTGATCAAACTTAGTTTTAATTTAGTGTCGATAACTATAATTCGATCACAAGTCTGAATGATCAAGATCAACAACCCTTTATTTTTTAGGAAAATTAATGAAAAATGTTTGAAAACTTTGAGTTTTAATGATAATAACAAAATAAAAGATAAAGTGAACAGAATCATGATTGACTTTTTTATGTAAAAATATGATTTTTCATTAAAGTGAATAATACCGGAAGTTTTTTTTAAAGTTCATTATTTTTTCTCAAACAAGAACCATAAATTGGGTTGGTCTAAACTTTTTTTTTTAAATTATTATTATTCAGCAATGGAAAAATGCTTGAAACTATTAGAATATTTAAAGGATGAGAGTTTCGAACATAGAAATTTAACATTATTTATTTTTATTAAGATATTGGATCACATACATGCGTTAGTTTTAAACTATTGGCATCTAATAATATTCATACAAAATCTAGAAATGAATTCAACATCACTACCTCAAGATGTTAATCAATCATTCCTAACTAGTATCATTGAACTCGTATGAGTCTACGATATCTACATCTCTCATCATAAAAATAAAAAATAAAAAATATTTGAAAAAACCAAATTTTACGAAGTTTGGTTTAGTAAAGAATCAAACCGTGGATCTCTAAAAACGCTAGTAATGCATCCGCTCCCGCCATCAATCACCTTCAGCAGCGCAACTGCCTTGCTCTTCGCTTTTGTGCCGCCATTCTCCGCCACTTCAGCAACCCCATCCACCACACCCATCCCCTCCTCCCTCACCTCCCTCAGTCCCCAATCTCCGCCGCACGTGGCCAAATTGAGCAGCGCCCCCACCGCGTTCTCCTTGCTCCTCAAGCTCGACCCGGTCGAGAGATCCAGCAAATCCGCCAAAACCCTTATCCCGGAAACCCTCTGAAACGCCTCCTCGCTCTCCTCGCACCCCGCCACCTGCGCGATCACCGCCGTGGCGTCCTCCACGATCCCCACCCGCCCGTCCTTCACTACCAATGTAAAAAGCGTGGGAACCGCCCCGAGCTCCACCAAGGCGATGCGGTTGGGCGCGTAGAGAGCGATCCCGAACAGCGCCTTCAGCGCGTCCTTCACAGACCGCGGCGGCGAGTTAGGGCACTTGACGATGTCGATGAGGGAGTAGACGATGTCGCGCTTGGAGCCAATGATGGGGCGGTAGTCGTCAACGACGAGGAGGCTGTGAAGGGTGGCGGCGGAAGACTGGACGGCGGAGGGGGAGGAGGAAGGGGAGGCGTGTTGGCGGAGAGAGTGGGAGAGAGCATCGAGGAGGCCTTGTGTGGAGATGAGGGAGTCGCGGCAGGAGATGGAGAGGTTTAGGAGGGTGGCGGCGGCGTCGTCTTGGAGGTAAGGGGAGGAGTCGAAGAGGGTTTCGGACAAGTAAGGGATGGCGCCAGATTCGGCAACGAAGGGGCGGCTGTCCGGTTCGAGCTTGGTGATGAGGCGAAGCTCTTTGAGGGCGTCGGCTCGGGTTTGGGAGGAGACAGAGCTGAGCTTGGAGACAAGGGACGGAACCGTATGGAGCTTCACTTCCATGTTTGCGATGTCCGTGTCTGATTGTGTTTGGAGTTGGAATTTCCGGTTTTGGGTTTGTTGGGATGATCGCAAGAGGAAAGGGATGCGATTTTAATAGGAGAAAGGAGTATTAATGGTATTGGTGGTGGTGGGTTAGTTGTGTTTGAAAAGGAAGTGCCTGCGAGTTGAAAAGTTACAAAGTCGGAAATGATCAGCTCTTCTGTGTATATATACTAATCTTCTTCACTATGCCCGCCAAATTTGCATGTCAATTAACAACAAAAACAATACTTGACTATTAAAAAATGAGTAAAAATTCTTACTCAAAATTTTTAGCATTTTAATCACAGATTTTTGTGCTTATGATCAGAAATGTTCATACTATGAATCATACTGTAAAGATCATCTCTGCCAAAAAAAATAAATAATAATAATTAAAACTAAGGTCGTTTAGTTAATCTATTGTAGCAAATACATAAAAGGTGTGTATAATGCTTTTACCAATATTGTACATTTGTTTTTAAACTGTTTGATGATTAAACGACCTTAGTTTTAATTGATTTTTTACAGAAAAGATCCTTATATGATGATTTATAATATAAACAGTTCTGATTATAAAATAAGAGGTTCTATAAATTGACAACAAACTATTTTGAAATTTTTTAAATAGAAGTCCCTACTTAACTTATTTTTGAGTAGCCAAGTATTGTTCTAACAACAAATAACGAAACCGCGGATTGCCCCCAAGTTTCTTTTTCTAATCATGCAGTTCAAGCTCTTCACTCTTTCTCAATATACATAGTAAATTAGTGTAGATATTGCTTATAATAAATAAATAAATAACTAAAAAAACAAACAAGAAATTAATAAAAGAGTAAATGATTAATAGGGTTTTTACTGTACAATAATAACTCTTATTTTGACGCAAATAATTAATAGGATTAATTGCGAGAGAGGGACATGGTCACAAATTGTAAGTTTAGGAAGGATCAGGCCAACCTATATTTTCTTGATCCTTTAAAAATATATGTTCATTTTTTTCATGATGATGATAACTTAATTTGGTCGATTGTTTGGAAGAAGACCTTAACTTGGTCGAGAGTTGAAGAATTTAAGAATTTGTTTGGATGTGCTTTTAAAATAAGTGAAAGTGTTTTTGGTGAAAATATTTTTGGAATCAATCCTTAGTAAAAATGCAAGTAAATTTTCGAAAATCACTTAAAGTGCTACCTAGAAGAAGCACATAACTGATGCTTCTTGCAAAAAGCACTTTAAGTGCTTTTGGAACCAAAAAATATTTTATCTAAAAACGTTTTCAGTCATTTTAAAAGTACATTTATACAAGCTATAAGTTGGTGGACCAATTAAAACGGTAACTCGTGTATAAATTAAGGGCTCGTTATTACAATTAAGCCAAAATTTTATTATAATCACTTTTTTCTGGGTTTATTTGGATTAAAACCTACATCTCTACGCAACAATTTTTTTGTTCATTAGTTGTACTTATATTACATATAACATGTTATGTTCCTTACTTGAGGTAGTAGTTCCGAACCCTCTTATCTTTTAATAATAGTAAAATTAGGGCAGAACTGTCACTTAATAAAAGTGGTTGACAAGAGTTGGTCCCGTAGTATTCAGTAAGTATACATGTAGAATATGACTTCATTTCATTTATGGATTAAATTGATAGTTTGACAAAATAATGGTGGATGTATACCTATATTTTGTATATAGTCCACAGAAATTGGAGAATTTACTTTGTTACTTTATTTTCCTAAAGGATCACAACCTAACTGCACGATATGATTCATGAAATGAAAAAAATAAATTTAATTATGATGGGGAAAGGGCATGGAGATGGTTATTCAAGTCCACATGCATTGACTGTATAATTTTCGTAAGAAAAGAATAACTTATATGAATCAAGTTTATCGCCGTTGTAATGTCTTGACTTAATGATTGAAATTTCAACGGCTGGCCAATTACCTGGAAAGCTGATGGTTTGCTAGATAACTAGCAAATTAAGAAAGAGAGAAATATAAATTAAGAGAGAAAGAAATATATAATTATTTAATTGATGATGACAAGGCAACCAAGTATTCGGTGTAGGTTGGCTCTTGAATGAATCGAATCAAACATATAATAATATATACAGATAGAAGGAAGCTAGAAGGTGCCGCACCAAGAGTCAATGCTATCTCAAGGATACATTATATTATATGAAAGAGGATAATGACTCTTATGAAACGAGGTGAACTGTCACGAAGACATTTTATTTTAATAAAAAAATAACATGTGTCATTTTTTTATTACATTATATCATATTATTAAAAACGAGACGTCACCTAATATACATTTCATATAAGATGTTCTCATGATCGGAGGAAATATAAGACCTGTCAGTAGTTGTGACATGAGTCTTACGTCAATCTTTGCTAAACTCTGTTCAATAAGTGGACATCATCTAATTTTAGAAAATAAAAAATAAAAACCTCTCATATATATATAAAGTCCTGCCCTCAAAAGGTTCTCATTTCGAGAATATGCGATTATCAAATGCATATTAGCCATAATTTTATCAAATACATATTAGTCATAAGATTATATTAAATAAAATCCAAAGGCTTAAAACATTTAACAATTTAATAAAGCAATAATCATATTCCTGATTTACAATGAATTCAATTACTGAGATAGAGGCAGTAATTGGACTTCAAAAGAAAGGCTCTATCAAGAATCAGACATTTCACCAAATTATCCTTGTACATTAAAAAGTACCTTTCCACATTTAGCTCCTCTTTCATCTGCTTGCATGTCTTCCCATCCCACATCCAACTACCCAAGGCACACCTACCTCCAACCCAAATCCAACCAAGATTGCCGCACCCAAATCTCATCCTCCCAAGATCCACCACCAATTGACACAACCCAAGCTCAACATCTTCCCCAATATACAGTAACAGAGTATTTCTTATTTCATTAACAAATCAAGAACAACAACTTCCTTCTACAATCTTCCCTAATTTAACACTAGGCAGCTTAACCTCTAAGCCACCGATTCCTAACTGTCTAACCACTTAACAGATTGCTGACTCAACAATATTATCCTAACAATATTGCCACATCATCAGCTCAACATGTATCCTATCAATACCCCCCTCAAAACAAGGCTTGTATCACAAGACTTCTACAACAAAAACACAAACATTACACAACCAATTCATGAGCAACATTATAAACATAACAGAAACAAGATTACAGATGAACCACTATTGGAAACTTGGATTTTAAGTCTGCATAATTCTTCCAAGTTGCATCTTCTGGAGGATGATTTTGCCATTGAACCAACACCTCGGTTGTCGCTAAATTACCTTCCTTGACTAACTTTCGTTCCAAAATCCTTACTGGCACATCTTGGAGTATCCCATCATCAGTGAGTAACATCAGCTTGTATGCCATAGTACCAACCTTGGCTAGCACTTCAAAATGAGCATAGAATTTAGGCTCTAGCTTATGAAATGGGTGGCCAACTAAGGACAATTGTTGATAAGCGTATGTTTTGAGGTAAACCAAATCTCCCACCTGAAAAACTCTCTCAGTTCTGTGCTTACTGACTTGGACAAACATTTTATTACAAGTAGCTGCCAGATTAGCTTTTAAGAGAAAAAAATATTCTACTTCTCTCAAGCAAGCTTCTGTCAACCATCTCCAATTTTGCAGTACCGTCTTCATATACTAGAACCCCAAGGGGTGATTGCTTATAAACTGCTTCATAGGGACTCATTTTTGTCGTTGAATGATGGGCAATGTTGCAACTCCATTCTACCTATGGCAACCAAGTTGCCCATTTATTAGGTTGTAGACTACAAAAACACTTAAGATATGTTTATAAGCAGCGATTAACCTCTTCCGTTTGACCATCGGTTTGTGAATGATAGCCCAAACTAAAACATAGAGAAAACCCTTATGAAGCAAAGAATGCCTTCCAAAACTTACTCATGAAAACCAGGTCCCTATCACACACAATTGAAGCTGGCATTCCATGGAGTTTGAAGATGTTTTCCACAAATAATTATGCCACAGAAGTAGCATTATATGGATGAGAAAGGGAAATGAAGTGAGCATACTTTGAAAGCCTATCCACCACCACCCAAATAGCAGTTTTCCCCTTGCTTGGTGGTAGCCCAATGATGAAGTCTATAGAAATATCTGTCCATATCCTTGTAGGAATGGGTAATGGTTGCAATAAGCCTGATGGAGCAAGAGTCACATATTTTTGTTGTTGACAAACTTGACAATTTGTTACCATTTCCTTGATGTATTTCTTCGTTCCATTCCAATGAAAAGTGTGAGATATACTCTTATAGGTTTTTAGAAACCCCGCATGACCTACAATAGGGCTGCAATGATGCTCCTCGAAAACCTTGCATTTCCAAGAACTTGCATGACTTAACACAATTCGATCTTTATACCTTAAGAACTCATTTTTCACCCTATACCTCTAAGTACTAAGCACTGTAGAATTAAAGGGATATAAAACTTCTTGAATCTTGTTTTTTATCCAAAGATCTTGTTTATTATCTTGTCTCCGATCATCTAACCAACTCAAATAAGGATAGGAAATAGCAGACAAAAACCTACTAGAACTCTGAGAGTATTCGTCAATGGGAATTCTGGACAATGCATCAGCCACTTGGTTATTAGAACCTTGTTTATATTGAATTTCATAATCAACCCACTTTGCTAAAATGGGGTATTTTCTCTATTTTAGAGGAAGTACTTAAGGCTATGATGATCTGTTTTGATGATAAAGTGTCTGCCCATTAAAGATGACTGCCATTTCTTGATGGCATGAAGAATTGCCATCATTTCCCTTTCGTACGTTGACAAAGATTGATTCCTCACACTAAGAGCTTTACTAGTGAATGCAATTGGTCGACCCGATTGTTGCAAGACAGCACTAATCCCAAAACCTGATGCATCAGTTTCAATGGTGAATGGTTGGGAAAAATTAGGAA